TGTTTTGTTTGTTTTTCGAATGTTTGCGTAAAGCTACTCAAAGGCTATCTTATTCGAGCCGTCCCTAAAGTTGAACCAACAGACTACAGAAAGAGTAGTTAGGTAACATTACCTACCGCCAACACTTCAGCTACTCTTGTCTAACGGAATAGTGGGATTTGACCATCATTCTTATACCATATTCACGGCTACTAAGTACTGAAAGAAGTTTCACGACAACAAGTACATGAAACCTCGAATTCACAGTCCTGACAAGCTAATCACAGGGCTACGTTTGGCCCAAATTTAAAAGAGAATTATCCACAATAGACAGTACCTTTTAAATATTTAGTGATATAACTACCAACTTTAACAAAATTCTGCTTGTTGTTGACGGTTTTAAAAACAAAACAAAATTACTACTGCACTGTCAGTTTAATTGTTTAAAGACAGCAGTGAAACTTCTAATCATATGCATGAACATTTTTAAAGAGGTTTCTAGTTCCCTCGTAGAGTCATTATGCCAGTAAAATTCTGGAACATTGGTTGTTTGTTTGTTTTAGTGCAAAGCTATACAATAGACTATCTGCATTCATCACGGATAGTTAAATCCAAATTTTAGAGTTGTAACCATAAATTCATCACCGACAAACTGGAAGATCCTGAAAAGTATTACGATAAGTTGAAATGAGCGTTTTTTGCCCCTGTCTAAACGAACTGGAGATTTCATTTAAAAAGTTGAAAAAAAATTTAGAAAGTGATAATAGTGACGTGTCAAACAAATGTCATTTCTTGTAATATACATTTTCACTGCTCAACATAGACGCCACCCCTTTACATTTTGTGCATAATAAGTACATAGACCCCACCCCTTTACATTTTGTGCATAATAAGTACATAGACCCCACCCTTTTACATTTTCTATATAATAAGTACATAGACCCCAAACCTTTACATTTTGTGCATAATAAGTACATAGACCCCACCCTTTTACATTTTGTGCATAATAAGTACATAGACCCCACCCTTTTACATTTTCTATATAATAAGTACATAGACACCTCCTTTACATTTTCTTTATAATAAGTACATAGACACCTCCTTTACATTTTCTATATAATAAGTACATAGACATCTCCTTGAGATTTTCTTTATAATAAGTACACAGACACCTCCTTTACATTTTCTATATAATAAGTACATAGACACCTCCTTTACATTTTCTATATAATAAGTACATAGACATCTCCTTGAGATTTTCTATATAATAAGTACACAGACACCTCCTTTACATTTTCTATATAATAAGTACATAGACACCTCCTTGAGATTTTCTATATAATAAGTACACAGACACCTCCTTTACATTTTCTAT